GATTGATTAATCATCGACTAAAATAACTTCAGGATTGTCTAATTAATCATTGGCTGAAGTAATTTCACAATCGATTGATTGAAATTTTGTTTAATTTCCAGATTAACTAATTAACTAATTAATCACTGACTGAAATAATTTGATTGATTGATTAATCATTGACTGAAATAAATTCAAGGTTAATCATTGCCTGAGGTAATTTCAAAATCGATTAATTAATCAGCTATGAGATTGTTTAATTGATCCTTGACTGAAATAACTTCAGTTACATTAACTAATTAATCATTGACCTAGGTAACTTCCAGATTGATTGAAATAATAATAATTTCGTTTAATCATTGACTGAAACAATTTCAAAGTTGACTAATCAATCATGTGATTAATGATTAGTTGGAATTATTAGTTATATTAGTCAATCAGTCAGACTAATTGGTCAGAATTGTGCCATTATTCATTTAATGCGATTAATCATCAATCAATTGTTTCAAGTTCTACGCCGATTTTTACATTTAATGGCGTAAATGTAATTTATTAAAAAAAAAAAATGTAAAATATCAACGTTTATGTGTCGTGTCTGTGTGTTGTTTCTGAGATACATGTATATCACATTATTACGATATTTGTATGTAGTAGAAAAAGACCAGATATACGTATCATTTTTACACATGAACATATCAACAAAATAGAATTTCACTTCTTACAAAATACTTTTCTCATCCAAAGATTTAGAATGAAAGACGATGATTCTCTTTGACGTATTTATGCGTGTAAGAATTTCGAGTGATCTCTCCTCAAAAAAAAAAAAGAAAAAATAAAAATAAAAAAAAGAAAATAAACCAGATCACTTTTCACAATATAACACCTGGTGATGAATACCTGATACTTACAAACACGAGGGAGCCAGGAGGTTCTCCTAAAGGCTAGCACGACTCCAATCAATATGACTATGTCGAGCAGCTGAATTATTGCAATTAGTCTGTTGGCAGGCGATCGTACGCGTACGGTATAACGATCCCCGAGAGAAACCAAGCAAGAAAGACCAGGAAGGCGAGGCAACGGTGATAAAACGTTACGATGGCGATAGCAATGGCCGATGTCCGACCGATGAGGCGAAGAGGCTCATGCAGGATGGTAGCGGTGCGCGGCCAATGAATATGAAACAGTCATTAGCGCGCCAATCTGGAATCACTTAGGAACAGGCGCAGCAGTCAGCAGACAGGGAATCAGGCGCGTAGAGGTTGCCGGGTTGCATTGAAATGCATTGCCTCGAGGCCGAGTTCGTGGACATTAGACGCTGGGGCCATTCGACATCGTGATTATCGCGTCCTAGGAATAGCAAACTTGGCCGCGGCAACACCGTTCTCTGCCATTTCTCGGCCCATTGCGACCGAGAGAGAGGACGATCTCTCTCGAAACGATGTCGAATCGACGTACGCAGTCGCGTTGTCTGCATCACCGATAACGCCAATTCACGATCAAAGATCGTATAAAATGCATCTCTCGTGCTGCGCTGTTTGTCGTTGCGCGTCCAAGTGCTTCCTTCAGAGATTCGAGGGATAAACGCAACTCTCCGCGATGTGTGTCGTTTCGTTGGACAATATTTTCGTTTCACGAGTAGAATACAGTTTCGTCGAATGCTAATCCATGTGAATTTGGGATTTGTAAGCCGTGTCGAATAGAGATCCGTCCATTTATATTATATTTCGAAGAGTAACGAAGAGTAACGAAGAATTATCGATCTCTGTTTTTACACAGATTTCGAACGAAATGATCAGAGTAGGAAATAGTTCAATATTTCTTTGATTTTGAAGATAGTCTATTTAATCTAAAATTTTACGTACGTTATTAATTAATTTTTTTAATCTCTTTAACACGTTCCGTGCCAAGCGATTTTTGCCTTTTGTTGTCGTTCAAGCCA